TTATGGAAAGAGTAAACCAATATGTCATGTCTAAAAGGTCATTTTAGAATGGAATTTTTTATAGTATCTATATAAAATGCTAATACACATATCATATCTATAGAGTATAGGTGCCTACAAATCACCATGGTAGTTGTCATGGGTGTTTTTTTTTTCTTTAAATATTTTCTAGCCAACCGTGAAGCTGGCTCATAAGCTTGACTTACTTCTTCATTTGTCTAGCCACCTGGTCGAGGCAATCATGATCCTCATCGTGTTGCTCGACCCTCTCCTTAGCCCAGCCCAGTGCAGCGCTACTGGGCACCAGGACTGACCTTGCTGCAAAGGCCACATCATGTGACACTGTGGCTACGGGCCTGTGGCTAGCCCTAAGGCGCTCTTCCTCATCGACAAGTTGTCATGCAAATTGTAGCAAAACTGAGCAAGGTCGAGTAAGTTGACCCTGCTATGCTAGTTTGGAGTCACATAATGCGGAAGATACTCCTCTATAATTGCATTCACCCTCTGGCTGCCCATCCGTCTGAGGATGGTTGCTGATGGAGAAGTTTACCTTCATCCCCATCAAATGAAACAAGTGCTGCCAAAACCAGCCAGTAAACCACCCATCACGATCACTCACAATGTCCTCAGGGACACCCCACCAGTTTACCACAAAGCTCAGGAACAATTGTGCTACATTCTCTGCACTGTAATGGTCCAGGACCGTGATGAAGGTTGTATACTTTGAGAAGCAATCCACCATGATCATGATTTGCCTCATGCTATTAAGCTTGGGCAAACGACTGATGAAGTCCGTGGATAACAATCCACTCCGTCTCTTTTGGTCGGTCTTTACTTGTTAGCATACCAGGCAGATCTTCATGTAGTGTTCAACCTCTTGCTCCATCTAAGGCCAAAAGTGTTAGGACATGGATATCTTGGGTTCATATTGATATACATCATTATGGATGTATGGGTATATATCTCTTGATAAGGTTATGTATCTAGAAGATAAGAAGATACCAAATCAAAGATACTTGGTTATCAAGTTATCATACCATATTTATCTTATGTAATTGTGTGATTGTCCTATATATATATATATATATTCATATATATTGGTACTTCTTGATGTAAACGTTCATCCAAAAATAGTAAAGATATAGCCATTTGGGCTTTGGATCCGTAGATGTAAGGCTTCGGCCTGAATCACGTAAATATTGTATTCTATCTTTTCCACTCTCCATTCAATGTCTGTGCCTGTATGCTCTGACGAATTCTAATAAATAGAAACTCTAGGATAGTAGGGCCAATGTCCGCTCTTGGCTAGGTTGCCCAGCTACTAGCTCATTATGGCACTCCCTCAGCAGCTCCTTCCTGAGGCCACTTGTGCTAGGAACATAAATGTGTCGGCCTTTGGCATAAAGGATGCCACCTCTAACCAAATTTCCTGGTGTGTCCCTCTTAGACTTGTCACACTAGCCTATGAGTCACAGGGTCCCTCTCGACCTCCTCACGGATCTGTTCCAAGAGGCCTGGTCCATCTTCTGGCTCAACATATCGACAACCATATTGGCTTTCCCTAGGTTGTATTCCAGGGAAAAATCAAACTCAACTAAGAACTCTTGCATCCGACCTTGCTTTGGAGTCAGCTTCATGTGCATGGTGAAATAGCTCATGGACACATTATCGATGTGCACTACAAACCTACTCCACAGTAAGCAATGTTTCCACACTCTTAAACAATGCCCCACCCTCGTTTTCTTTTTCATAGATTGAGTACCTCTGTTAATTCTTATTCAACTTCTGGCTTTCGCAGGCCATAGGGTGACCATCTTGTATGAGTACTCCACCAAACGCATGGATGGAGGCATTAATCTGCACCTCAAAGGGTCGATTGAAGTCTGGGAGGTGTAACACCGGGTTGCTGGTGATTGTCCTCTTCAGTTGTCAAAATGACACCCTTCCTCAGAAGCTTAGTCAGCGCCACAATCCTCTTGAAGTAACCCTCTATGAACCACCGTAAATAATTGGTTAGCCCCAAGGAGCGTAGCTCATGGGAGACAGGTTGCAGCCAGTCCATGATGACTCGCACCTTTTGATCAACCATCTCAATTTGCCCACGACCCACTTATGCCCAAGGAATATGATTTCCTATTGGGCCAAAATACATTTTTCGAGCTTTATATACAATTGGTTGGGCCTAAGCCTTTCAAGCAACAACCTTAAATGCTTAACATGTATATATGAGGTCTGGCTATACAACTTTATGGTGTAAATACATTACAACAAACATATTGATGCACTCACTCAATACATCACTTATTAGATGACAGAAAGATGCCAGTGCATTAGTTAGCCCAATCGGCATTACAAGAAGTTCAAAAGACCCATATTGGGTTACACTAGCAGTTTTTTTTGTGTCTCTCTCCATTAGATACACCTTTTTTTGTGTCTCTCTCCATTAGATACACCTGCTGCCTGAGTGCTAGTCAAGCTTGCTGACGACCCTGCCCTTGACTAATCAGTTGAACAGATCAACGATTAAGGGCAAGGGATACCCGTTCTTGATGGTTAGACTGTTGAGAGCGTGGTAGTCAACATGCCATCTTACTTCCTCTGAAACATCACTGGTTCACCACAAGGAGATTGGGATGGCTGGATTGGGCATGCATGCAACAACTCATCCAATGGCCATCTGGGTTCCTCCAACTCAGAGGGTCCTTTCGATAGGGTATCTTAACCAGGGGTGGGCACCAGACCCAGCTTGCCTTGTGGGGCCAGAGTCTTTGGTAGCTCAAAGGGTGACGTGTCACTGAACCCCTAAGAAGCTTTTTGACCACAGGGAGCACAACCAGTCCCTTGCTAGTCTTCTTCACTACTAAGACCACTAGAAAAGTAGCATGACCTTGTTGTTGTCCTCCCTTTCTCTATTTGAGCCACAGGGATCATGCAAGGGCTCATCTTAATTAAGATTGCCACCACCCCCAAGTGTGGCACCACTAATGCCTTAGTGAAGGTCATGAATTCAAGCCCAAGGATGATCTCGAAGTCATCCAAGGGAATAACCACTAGTTTGATCACCCCACTCCAGTCACCAACATTGTCCTCTACCTCTAGAGCTATCCCAACAACCGATTAGTCCATTGAGTTCGCCACCTTCATTTTGCTACATCCCAAGTTAGCTTGTGCCCAAAGCATGCCGCATCTCGATCCCACACAAAGTTCGAGGCACTTATGTTCACCATCACTTAAGCCTCTTGCCCATTCAGGGTGACCACAATATACATGAAGCCTCCTCTAGGAGACACCTCCTTCACCATCTTTTCACTACGTGTAGTTGGATGGAATTGGTATGCATGTGGAGGGGATTGGCCCTTGTAACCTCTTCCTCCTTCTTAAGGACCGATTGGACAATGTTTAGAGACTGCTTCCATGGACAATCTTTAGCTCGATGGGGTCCCATGCAGATGAGGCAGACGAATAAGTCTTTGGATATTAGATTTTTAAAAGATTGTCCCTTATGTCGCCCACCTACCTATGGCTTGGGGTTCCTCTACCGTTGTTTTTGCCATGTCAAGCACTATCCGACATGGCAAACAAGACTCCCTGCCACAGCCAACCTTGCAGGGAGGTCTTTCAACCATTGGCTTCTTAGCTGAGCTTGAGACTATGGTTGCAAGCTATCCATAAAGCTAAATAGCTTGTCCTCCTCTGACATGTTCTTGATGTCGAGCATGAGGCTTGAGAATTCTTTCAGGTACTTGTGTATTGCAACAATGTGTTTATTTTCTCAACACATCACGAGCCATCTAAGCAGCATTTTCGTCAAGGAAATGCTTCTTCAACTCCCTCTTGAGGCCCTCCCAGCTAGTAATGGGAGGCCTCGATCCATCTACTGTGCATGTCCTCCACTAGATCTTGACATCTCCAATGGGTACATGGTGGCTAGGGTCATTTTGTCTTCCTCTTGGGCATGAGCAAATTGGAAGTAATGATCAATGTTCCGTAGAAAGTTCTCCAGCTCCTTAGAGCTACGAGCTCTGTCGAATGTTTTGGGCTCTGACACTCAAACCTTAGCTAATTTGACTATACTAAAAGGATTGGCCAATGCACCCACTTGACCAATGCAAGGTCATCAATCAACATCATAAGGTTCTCTTTAAACATATATGTTAGGGCAGCTACATCAGCCTCCAGGGCCCCATATGGATTTCACAAGAAGCCCCATATGGATTTCACAAGAACTAGTCTGCTCCTCATGGGTCACCATGATTTCTATCAAGCTGGGTGGAGAGGGCATCTGGGATCTCTTCAAGAGAGGTGACTCAAGCTACTAGAAAGTCATTCTGTTCGACCTGCTCAAGCCTCATGGTGCCTCATGATGGTTGTTACAGGCCCCTACAATCCTTGGAGTGTTGTGCAGGCTACCTCCACGTGCCATGCCAACTAGTTATGCATGCCTCTTGCAACACCATCATTGCCCCACCACCTTTTGAAATCCAATTTGGCTGCCCGCCCAGCCCAGGCATCCATGGAGCCCATGATTCAGCGCATTGCCTCGTTTTGCACTGACGTAGTTGTGGGGCTTGTGCCCCCTTGTTGCCATGAACCAATATATCTATGTTATGCATCACGGTCTCTAGGCTGTCCTCATGCATTGTTCACTGTGGTCTGCCGACTAACTCAAGACTAGTCACCACCCTCTCAATATGCAGTGTAGAAATGAGCTGGCAAGAGTGACACCTCTTTCTGCCAAAGTGGCATTCATGATGCTGCCTTCGCCTAAGGCTAGTTGGGTCAAAGGAAGTTTGATGGCCCTGCCCCTTGACCAGAACGCATGCACCAAGTTAGGGGCCTGGCATTAGTCCCCTTACAGAGGATGGGAAAAAATAGGTCTTTTAAGATTTTCACTCATACATAGCAATTCTCATTTTATATAAATTTTTTTAATGGTATATTGGAGCCGAGTATGTTGTGCAACTTATACACAATCTAAACCAGCCATACATATTTGTCGATAGAGAGGTGATTAAGGGAAGCCTAATGTAGGTACATGACTCTTGATGAAGAGAAGGAGAACCGCCAATTCTACTACTTCGCAAAATCTGAGAACAACTCTGAAGAAGATCTGTTGCTCCTCTGGCTCACTGGATGTCCCGAATGCTCTGCCTTCAGCAGTCTTGTCTTCAAAATAGGTCAGTACATTCTATCTTTTGGAGAACTCATAACTTAAATGAATGGTAGACCTAAATAATATACATGGCAACTTATAAATGAATTAAGTTTGAGAGATCTCAATCCGCAACGGTTTGGAGTTCATGTTGTGTGTGTGTGTCTATATATATATATATATAGGAAGATGCTACAGTACGTCGATTCCTGTACTGCTACAGTGAACGTCGAATGGCCCTAATCAAATTTGGGGCGATTTGACGATCACGGATGTCCGGTAGTGTTTTATTTTTTTATTTTTTTTCTACCAATCAGAATGATCTGAAAGTATGTTCATAAAAAATAGGCGAACCTACGAAAAAATATCAAAAAAAATATTTTACATGAAATAAATTGACCAAAATACCCTCGAAAAGTTTCAGGGGTATTTTGGTCAATAGTTTTTTATGAGTTATTTTTATATATTTTTATTAGGTGCGCCTCACTAAGATGTACACATGCTTCAAATTTCAGATCATTCTGATTTGCAGAAAAGAAAATTAAAATTCAAACACTCTTGAACAACCTTGACCGTTAGATCGGCCCAGATTTGATCTGGGCCGTTGGGTGTTTACTGTAGCAGTATGCACATGGACGTACATGAAATTTTTCCATATATATATATGTGTGTGTATGTGTGTGTGGGTAGGAATGGATCTTGTCAACCTACAGCTCTACGAGAACCATGACGAATTTTCGTGTTTTTTTGTATGAAAAAGTAGCGCCATGTACATGTTATGTCCATTGCAGTATCGCAACAGATATTGTTGGTTCATTGCGGTCTTTTAATCCACGCCGTCCAAAACAATCGGACGGCGCTGAGCCTATGGGCAAAAACATTGTTCATTTTCATCCATAGGCGTAGCATAGTAGATTCCAGAGAGAGAGTGTTTTCATGATGCCATTTTCTTGGGTTTTAAATGGGTTCTAATTAGAATGGAATTTATTGTTACCTTAAAGGAGGTATTGTCAATTGCTTACCTCTTATTATCGTACTAAGAGAGAGAGACGATGAAATCCAATATTTGGTGACCACCACCAAGCTGCATTAAAGTGAATAAATTTTGATAGTGGCTCATAGGGTTGGTTGGTGTTGGTGGCCTCCTAAGGGGAATAATTTATTGGTTGCCCAACACTGCGTTAAGAAATACATATATGAGATCATGATTCCATATACAAAGAAAAGAACCAGAGAGTATTATGGGCGATTTTGAATCGATTTTTGAGCAAGATCAACTCAAATGTCTTGTGAAACGAGTTAAAGATTTTAATCAGTAAAGAGAGTGGGGTTGCTCAAATCATAGATTTAGAACCATCACAAATCTTCTAGAGCTTGTTCTCCTCTAAACCTAATGATAGCGCTAGCTCTAGATCAGTTTACTAGACCCTAAAAAGTGTAAAAGATCTAATTAAAAGTAATAAATAAAAAAATAACCAGAACAATAAAATAAAATAGAAAAACAAATAAATAAATGTGAGATGTAGACACCCCGATCTCAATCGAGAAAACCGTGAAAGACCAAAATTCCTCGAGAAGACCATCCTGAAAATTGAACTATTCATATCCAACTATAACCAACCATTACCCATACCCCATACACCCAGACCAGCCTGGCAGAGGTTGAAGCGCTCAAAAGTGTCCCAGAAGATCAAGCAAGGCAGACCAGAACCAAGAGCCACCAACATGGAAGCGGTCAGCTCCAACACTATTGGAAAGTGCGTCATTGCCACTCCGAGCTCCGCCAAGATCAGATGTTCAAAATCGATCAGGACAACTCATATCTCGAGATACAAGCCCAATGAGTATGGCAAAGGTGCCGGCGCCATTGGCAGTGGTGACCCTCTTTGACAGGTCAAATGGTGAAGGCAACTTGGATGTACGGATAAATGTCAGGTGTCAGTACGGACGGATGTGTCAGGTTTTTGTACAGAGAAGCGTTGACAGTCTTGTCAGCCACACCATCTTCGGATTAGTCAAATGAAGCATGACATCAGTTGGCGCATATATGGAGCCGTCTAATAGGTCAACCTAACAGTGGCACACCTGTGAATGATGCCAACGACATTCCAAACAACGATGAACCTGATTAGTTGGTCCAACGTACGGAAGGGCACCTAGAGATTGACACATGCTAGCATTTGTCAGAAAGAAGCCCCAAAAGGTGCCAACGACATTGCCAATGTCATTGGGCCTCTAACACTCTGCCCACAAAAGTATACCCCATCCAAGATCATGGGATACTGAGCATTAAATGACGATGATTAGAATTAATCCTAATACGTCGCCATTGGCAATGGCGCCGTAGTATTTTGCAAATGCGATGTCACATCAAGGGCCCAGATTTCATCTAAAACGAACCAATTGTTATTATGAGACTATTATGCCTATAAACAAGGGGCACCCCCTCGAGCACAAAAATATAAATTTTTACTAAGTGCGAATAAGCTCTGCTTGGCCTAATCCGAAGCCATTCAACTCCAAAAACCAAACTCGAACCTCAAGTCCTCAACCTTAAGAACTATATTAATCCTCATTCAAGCCGAAGGCGACCTGGATAACCCGACTTTTTGGGCCCTCTTTTACTTATAGTTTTATCCGGTAAAATCCCAAAAGACTGGAAGTAGTCGTGCGACTACTACCTTTGAACTGACACCAACTCCAAGCGCCCGACTTAGTGCCCTGCCTAAGGTATCTATCTCTTTCTTCTCTTTTATCTCATTAATGGCATTTACTAGATTTCCTTTGTTTTAAAACTCTTCATAAAATTCCCCCTCTTTTTATTCAATACTTCAAAACTTGTTTCAGAATCCAAGGGGAAAGTGTGTTGGAAGCTGGCTCTGCCAGCAGTTTAAGCAAGAGAAAGTCTTCTGGCCCGACTCTCGCTTGGAATGTAATTTGATGGGGTACTTTCTCTATCACCTCATTTTGACAAGTTTACTCTCGAAACCAAGGTGGCTATCGAGTTCCTTGCTCGTATTTTCAAGTATAAACAGTTTAGTGCTCACTGTTGGGCCTGTTAAGCTTCTAATACACCCTAGTCATTGAAGTGACCACCCTAGACTTCGTCCCAAAGGGCCACCATCAACCTGTAGTTCATCTTGGCTCGCTCCGAGCCTCTTTTTACTGGTTTTGGGGCCTTAAAGGAGCAAGCGACACTGGAAAAGGCGTTGACGCCATTTCCAGTATTGCCTGACCATTCCAGCCCCTATTCCGGGTTCCCTAGAAGCTTAGGTGAGAGCGCCTTTGGCAACTGCGCTAGCTCAGCTGGCAATGGCACCCTCCCTCTGAGCCTCGAGAAAACCCTTGTTGCCTTCCAAGGCCTTTTTCTTCCTTTTGCCTGGAGTTTGGGAGACTATGAGACAGCGCCACTGCAGCACTCATTGGCGCGATTGGCATTGTCTCTGGTCTTTTTCTGCCCAGCTCTCTTTCTTCCAGTACGTGCAAAGTGGCCGGGGTAACTTGGCGATGTTTCTACAACCGTGTCAGTGTTGGACCTCCTGCTAGTTTCCAGCAGTCCTGACCTTGACGCCATTGCTACTGCCATTGGCGCCATTGCCATGTTCGCCGGACCCCAGTTGCCTCGGACTGCTTTGTTTGAGATGTGCTTTAAATAGGAAATTTGATTTGGAGTTGTACATGTTTGAACCTAGACTTATCATAGGAAAAGATTTTATCTTTATGAGTCCTCATAAATATGAAAGTGTTTAAGAGTTTTAGCGTAAGTCCTTTAGAAAGCAATACCGTGAGGTCGTAAGGGTTGGCGTGAGTAAGCTGCCAATGGGTTGGGCAGCCTGGCCCACTGGCTCGGTCGGTTGGACCAGGGTCAGGGTCAGGGTCAACCCCGAGTTAACGCTATGAAAACAAGGGACAGGCGCGTTGCCACCTTAAGTGTGAGTTAGAGAGATAGCAACTGAAGAGAGACGGAAAAGTTGTAGAGAGAGAGGTATTTGTGTTTGAGATTTTTTTATATTATGATATTTTTCTATAATTTATTGAATTTTCTTTATCTAGATTTAGTGTGCTCATGGTGCATGCATGATTTTATTTGTGTATTTTCGGTTGTACACACCTACACATGGTGCTCGCCATAAGCGTTAATTTTCCACTACGCGACTCAACAAGGAATGGGTTTAACAAAAGTTGGGCCCAAAGACAAAACAATTATAGAAAACCTCTCTCAAAAGTGATGAAGATATAGAGAAAAAAGGAAAAAAAAATATCTTACTTTAAAAATTCACCAACGAAACAAATGAAAACCTTCTATTCGGGGATTTATCAAGACCCACTAAAAATGAGTAATGTTATTTAAAACTAAGTGGACTAAGATCGTTGATTTGGCTGCCTTGTATTGACCAGATCGTCGATTTAGTACCAACTAGAAGTACGTTGAGACGTTACGTAGAGCCGAGTGTCACATGGTAGTATTTAGGCATTGTTTTTACTTATATATTTCAAATTTATCTATTTCTCTATCTTCTTGTCTCTCTCACTCGTTCTTTTCTCTTGTGTTTTTCAAAACTCCAAACTACTGAGGAGGTTAGAAGAAATAAAATCTACAATTTTATATCTTTTAAAACATTTGGTCTATTATGAAATGAAACTTAAAAATAGAAGGTATAGAGATATTCTCCCTTTGTGAAATGAAATTTAAAAATATAAAGTATAGAGATATTTTTCCTTAAAAATAAAGAGTATAGAGATATTTTTCTTTAAATAAAAGTGTGTTCTTTTCTATATCATAATTGGTAGGGCCCATATAACATGGGAGTTAGTTTATCGTTAAATATGGGGTATAGCGATATTTTTTTTCCTTAAAAATAAAGAGATATTTTTCTTTAAATAAAAGTGTATTCTTTTCTATATCATAATTGCTAGGGCCCATATAACATGGGAGTTAGTTTATCGTTAAATATGGGGTATAGAGATATTTTTTTTCCTTAAAAATAAATGGTATAGAGATATTTTTCCTATGTAACATGGGAG